AATTTGCAGAACAAAAAGAGATGCTGGACCAACTTGAGAAACGCGTGGCCTTATCAGAAAAAGAGATTTAAAAAATCAAGGTTAGCCTAAATGCAACAATTGAACAGCTTCAACTCCATCAAGTTGATCACGATGAGCTTAAAGGAAAAACAATTAACACAAATTTTGCAATTTCCTACGTAACAAGCCGCCTCATGTTAGGACGAGAGATAATAAGAGAAGCTTCAAGACAGTGGAAACAATTTAAAATATACGCACCATTGCCAGCCTCGCACAACGTCAAAAATGTGAGATCTCCGATGACAGATCCAAACTCTACCTCGACTTTACTGCGACTGAAATCAACACCAGTTTGCAACTGATAGAAGCAGACCCTTTCGACCTCAAAATCGAGAAGGCAAATGAAACCTGCGTTTTAAAATACACTGGACCCCGCAATGCTATTCTTTCCACAAAAGAAGACTGTGTCTATGCCGTGAATGTGAAGGAGCCTGCTACCCATGATCTAATTGTGTCTCCAACCCAAGGATGCACCCCTGCGGCTAAAACAAAGGATACGAAATATTTTGACATCGACCGTTGTTACGCCAAGGAACTCGAAGAACCATGGGACTTTATACAAATAAAACCGCACCATGGCCAATACCATATTTACTGCCCTGGGTCCAACATTACCATTGAGAAGAAGCCTCAACAATGCCCTGCTAGCGTGTTCATTCTACCAATGAATGCTAACTTTAAAATAAATGATATTGAATTTACAGGATCACAATCAAGCCTTGTTCACCAGGAGGTGATTGATCCCCTTTTCACGATGAAAGCCAATTGACACCTCCAACCCAGCTTCAACTGGACCAGTCTGATGCTAAGCAATACCACTGACGATGAAGGGTCAATCAACCACCACTCAACCAGTACTTGGGCCTGGACAACAATGGAATGGATCCTAACCCTTTGCATCCTAATAATAGTTGCTCAAGCCACTCTTTGTTTTTTCCTTTTTATGAAAACTCGACCCAATGTTATTTCCGTCAGAGCAAACCCAGTGAAAACTGCAGATATCGAACTTTAAAATTGAGGGAGGATGTTAAAATATGCATGTTCTTAACCGAGTTTTTCAAGTTTTCAATTTTCAAGTAAACTTTATGAGGGCTGAGCAGTTGACCTTTTTTCTCTGGACAAGGGATTAAAAGGGTCCCTTTTTAGGGTCATGCCTCATTAAAAGGGACACTTTATGAATGCATGAATCTACGTAGTTTTAACTCAACTACTCAACACTTAGTTACTATACATGTGTCTTATGTGTGTATCATTGTTAAATGTTTGTCACATCTTCAAATATGTGCAACTCAATAAAGATCTGAATCAGTCTAAAAATATCCTTCATGCAGTACGAACAGTTTTTACTAACACGTTTTTGATTTATTATTTTAATTTGATTTAATTTTCTGGTTAATTATTTGGATTTGATTTTAATTTTCTGATTTATTATTCGAGTTTGTTTTTAATTTTCTTAATTTATTATTTGAATTTGTATTTATTTATTATTTTTTGATTGCAATGGAATCATATACCTACATTACTTGTTGACCTGACTGAATCGACCTAATAAACATGGTCGTATTGTACAAATGATTGTGCCTGATTATATTGTAAAATTAATTACATGGAGCACTTTCGTCGGAGGAAATTTTGTCGGACGTACTTTCGTCGGGGAGAACTCATGTCTGGAGAACTTTTGTCGGAGAGTACTCTTGTCTGAGGCACTTGTCTGAGGCACTTGTCGTCGGCGCACTATCATCGGATGTCTGGAGTACTTCTGTCGGGGCCAAATCCCGACCCGTGGGAAACACTACTGGAAAGTCCTTTTCCATAAACTCGATTACAATTGTTCTCAGATTTGTCCTCAACCACGGGTGCGAAGAATAATGTGAACTTATAAGGGATGTAGTTATTACACAACTTTATTTGTCACTTTCGTACTGCACAAATGTACATTCAAATGTACAAATGCATAAATGTAGTAAGGTGCCTATTGTTAAAAATATTAAAGTTACAAAACAATGTTAAGTTATAAAATAATATTGAATAATTTTTTTCTCTTGTGCACAAGGTAAATACCAGTGTTCCGATCGAAACGAAATCGAAAGGAAATCCAGCAATTCCGTTTCGTTTCGAGAATAGAATGATTTCGTTTCAAAATTTCGAAACGAAATCGCGACTATTCGAAACCAATCGAAACGAAACACGAGAGAGGTTTGTTTCGTTCCGAATTTAGACGACACGAAACGAAATTTTTCGAAATGCAATTTAACACGTGTTAAGATTTTTTGAAAAAAATTAACCGTAATAATTGGTTAGATAAACTGTAGATGAATAAAAACGAAATTAATAATATTTGTGATCAATACAAAGCATTTAAAAAACAAAAAGGATGTCATTCCAAGATTCCATTTTTCATTTTACTTATTTGTAATAAATGATGTTGCCTTTCATCAATAATTTCACGTTGTTTACATATAAGAAATGAGCGATTAATTAGCTACCAAATTTAAGCCTACAAAGACTATTCTAACCCTTAACCTACACTGACCAAAATTACTCTCCCAGGTCAACCGCTTCACGATTTTGGCTCTCTATGACTATAATTATTAATCTAGCATATTGTGAGACTCTCATCCAGAGATGTGTGTATTTGTGTGTGTGTGTAAAATGCAATAAGTTCACAACAGAGGCGAAATGATACAATCAACTTCCCATTTATTCCCCTTTTACTGGCAATCCCCAGATTGCAAATCCGTACGCTTTGGACTCTCAAGACCGAATAATTCTCATTCCCCAGACATACATACATCCGTGCATTATTCTCCTAACATAACCTACATAACCAAAATATGCCACTTGTTGGCTAACGACGACAATGTTGCTCCTGTCTGGACAACCGGATGAAGGAAGGGGTCAGCGTGGGGTCACGAGCAATAAAACTCCAGACCCAGATTGCTCCAACTTCTGCACACTCTGTGCATATCCGACACCTTCTCCCAGAGAAGCATGACATCATCTCTCCCACATTACGTTTGGAGACAAAGGATATTTGCAAGCTTGCACTTCTCAGTGCTGGCTTGCTGACAATATTCTAAATGTGCCATATTTGAAGACAATCCTATTTTAAACATTAAGTTATACGTGTTAAGTTATCAAATGACGGGTAAAAAGGCAATCGGACGAACTTAAAATCTGCACAGGAAGTTGACTTCTGAAAACTTTGTTCTTGTTAAAAATATAGTGAACAATTTGAAGTAGATTTTCGATTTCTCCATGCAGTATTTACTTAGTTAATTTCGGATTTCCGAAGTACGAAGTTTCGAAATATTTGGTTTCGTTTCGACCAATTTCGAAACTGTACGACGTGAATTTCGTTTCGACGAAACGAAACAGCTCACTGTTTCGGTTAAAAAAATTTCGTTTCGAAAATTTCGAAACGAAACTTCCGCAATTTCGTTTCGTTTCATTTCGAATTTAAGTGAAATCGAAAAGAAATTTTTCGTTTCGATCGGAGCACTGGTAAGTACAGGATTAATAGCAGGGTTTTACTTTACGCACCTTTTGAGCTTAATACCCAGCCTACTGGGCAAAAAGGAACAAGTGGGCAAAACGGGTGGGTAAACCCACCCATTTTCCCACTATACATACTCTTATCTTAAATTATTGGATTTGACTTTGCGCGGTTATATCTCCAGTACCCTTTGCCTTAAAAATCGGCAGAGACCTGGATTATGAAGGTCAACTATTCGTTAATAACATACTGTAAGGGTTTTTTAATGAGTTGTGTAGTTTGAAAATGACAGACATAATAACAAGACGGGTCGCAATAATTGTACTTCAAAAGGTAGAAAATCGGCTATGCGACATTTTCGAACTTCTCAAACACCGTGGTCTCAAGTGCACAACAGTGTATGTTACCATCAACCTGTACCTGCGTTGGGTAGACTACCCTAACGCAACAACATAGCCTAGCTCCTCCAGTTTTGGAAACTGTATCTAAGACAAGGCCCAAAATAAATTAAAGTTCTGAATAGTAAAACTTGGCATAATTTTTTCCCCAACCCGAAAACTCCAGCTAGCCTAGCCTAACTGAAATGACCGTTTGAAAGGAAATTTTGACAAATCGAACCCAGGATTTTATGTGATGCATAACATCCTTCCTGTAAATGGCGTTGGATAAATTTGTTTTTTACTTTCCGTGTCATTTGCGTTTGAGTTTTCAAATTTAGTTATGGCGGAAAGACTGGTATGTGATTGGAAATAATAATGTTTGGAAGTGCAAATTTATGTACGAGAGTTGGTGGCGTGACCGAACTACTTATAATATGTAGTTATAGCGTGACTTCTTTCTATGTTTATGAATGGTTCAATAAGTATATAATCCTAATCAAATTCGGTCAGGAGGCACTGGACAAAGCACGGTGTAGTTAGTCTGAGAGACACTAAGTCAACATTATTTAATAAATATATGTAAGTACAAATAAATATTCGTGTATATTCATATTAGTCGTTCCAAACATAAAACTTTACGGAAACAAAGGAGTTTATACATAACCGATAAACACATAACCATGATAAATATCTAATACTAGGCTTTTGCCAATGTAGAACACGGGCCGGTAATAAGTACCAGGGTTTTTTTAGTAATTTAGAAACTGTATGTTTCGTAATGTTTTGGACCAATTTTTGTTTACGGTTGTAATATTTGAACATATTTAGGCAACCGTGATTTTTTTCAAGTCTATCTGACGAATACGAGCTGAGTAATAAATCGGCAAACTTAACCTCAAAAATAGTCGAAAATATACGATTTAATTGCATCATCGCTAGAAAATCGCTTCCCGTTAATGCCGGAGTTCTGTTTTCGGAACAAATAATAATCGCTAGCGGATAGGTCTGGACTGTAGGGGAGGTGGCTAAGCACTCGGAATCGATTGTCGTACACAGTAGTCCTCTCAACAAGTGCTGTGTCGTGTGAGGTGGCGCGATGTCGTGTAAAAGATACACCCAACTCCTTTTTTGACTCCACGTTTCTCTGCAACCGCTACACGTAGCTCCTCCAAAGTTTTTGCATAAGCTGCACCGTCTATTGTAGTATTTGGATCCATATACTGTACAAGTAGAGGTCCTTTAGAGTCCCAGAAAACGGTCAGCATCCACTTTTCCGCTGATTTTTGGACTTTTGTCTTCACCGTGGGTGGTGACCCTCTGTGCATCCACTGTATGGATTGTTGTTTGGTCTCTGAGTCATAATAGTAAACCCACGTCTCGTCGCCAGTTACTAAAGTCGAAAGTAGCCCAACTTTTTCATTTCAAATGCCCAAGTTTCCATTGCAAATATCAACTCGGTTTTATTTTTGAGAGGTTTAAAGCAATTTCGGTACCCATTGGGCGGAGACTTTTCTCATACCTAAATCTTGTGTTACCATAGATTGAATTGTTGTTTTTGGAATGCCCATATCTTCAGCTAGTTGAGACAGTTTGAATCTTCGGTCGGACATGATCAGTCTTTCTAATTTCTCAAGGTTTTCAGGGGAACTCGCTGTTTTTCTGGTTCTAGAGGTTGCAAGTCCAACACAGATTTTCTTCATCTTTTGAATTCGTTCATCTAGTTGTAGATAGTGGCTTTTGAAGGGCAATGTTCCTCGTAAACCTTAAGCAAAAAATCCGGAACAACATAGTTTAAACTCTGCCATCTATCACACCAAATATTTGTTGAACAAAATTACTTTGCTAGCTTTTCTCCACGTCTGTCCAGAATATTTGAGTTGACTTTAGATCCCAATTCATCACCGATTATGACAGAATCGCAACCCAGGGAGTTATCAGTTTTGCACGTTTCTGAGGAATTTATTACATAGACAGGATTCCTTGCAGTGGATGCAAGATCTTCGGTATAGTTGGTACCACACATTTTCTTCCTTTTACAGTTACATAACCACTGCAAGTGTGTAAAATATGTTGTAAGTATTTCTTAAAATACTAGTAAATCAGTAAAAGTTAGAACCTCACCGTCAAAAAGATTACTAACGCAACAAGAAAAAATATCCCAAGAGCTACATATATTAGAGTCCATTTTTGGGTAAGTTTGTGCTTCACAAGCAATCCGAAATTAATATGTGTTGTTGTTGTCAATGTGTGTATTATCACTATGGGTGGGTGCACGTATCATAACAATGGTCTTTTATTGCTTTATCAAAAAATACCTCAAAAATTAAACAACGCAATTAAGATACCGTATCTGATACATGAGCATTCTGCACATCCAAATTCCAATCTATTTATGATAATGCATTTTTTCCTTGACTTACTTACATTAGTATAATTCATTTAAGCACCGTAACCTTAGTTGTATTTTTTAAGCGTTGGGCAAACTTAAACTAAAAGTTGCTAATTAATTAAATTTCCATACGTTTCAAGCAAAGTTAGGGATATGCTTTAAGTTTGGTATCCAATACCCACAAATCTTACAAGTTAAATGGTTTAACTTAAACCTACACTCCACGTCAAAATGATAACCTCACCCCATTATAGGGTCATATCTTTAAACTCTAAACCTATTTGGATTAGAAATAAATTTTATTTATTAGACCATGCACTAATAATGTAAGGTCATATATCAAAAATAAAATTTTTATAAAGCTTTTTATATGTGAAAAATGAGACAAAAGGCAAAAAGTGACAATTTTCATCCCGTAAAAAATATAATCTCACCTTAAGATTTTTAGGTTTCTCTTTGCTATAGTTCCCACAACTTTGATATATAATTAGATGAAGTTGAGACGGACATTGTGGGTTGACTTTTTCTTTAAAACTTTATTATCTCAATATATTTCGACAAGAAACTTTTGTCTTCTTCAGGGGAGATGGTAAAAGTGGATATTTTAGACATTACGATACTATGAAAATGCACATAAAACAATATGATCACAAATTATGGCTAACAATAGATTTGTTGTTACGCTACTACAAATTTAATAAAGATGATGTCCAAATCGGGTTAATTTTCATCGCATCTTTTTGATTCATCTCTGTTTTTTCGGCATTTATGTACAGACCTTCTTTAAATATTCTTGAGAAGTATTTTTGCTCTGTTTCAATTATGACTGCTGCGTTAAAATTAATTTGATGAGATGAATTTTGGGAAATGTGTTGAGCTACAGCTGATGATTCTGCCATTTTACATATAAGTTGATTTTTATTGGTCAAAATATCATATCAATTATACTTATAAAAGAGATGATCAAACCCAACTAGGTGGGAATACTTGATCATCTTGTTATGAAAATTTATTATATAATATATAGTGATTACTTCAACATAATTTTTTCCATTTTAGCCTTAAACGTTACATAGCACTATTCATTTTTAACATCATTTTTTAAAATGTTCCACTATGTGACACCTCTAAAATTAAATGTTGTAAGACCGTAATTAGTTTTAGGGTTTACACTACTTATGAGACCATCAGCCGCAATTATTATGATTGTGTAAATCCTGTATTTTTCAAAAGTAATCAGAAAAATAAGGGACATCATTAAATTTTAATAATTTGAACATTATACATAACAATCTGAAGTCACTCATTTCTTTTGGGAGCAACCACTTGAGATGATTATGTATATCACCAGCAATCGGATCATACTTTCTTTTGCCCAGTATAAGTCTAGCCAATGATCTAAGCACTTTTTCAACAATCAACAACTGATTACATTTTGCTGAACCCCAAACGCTTGCCATATACATTACAATTGACAAAACCATCGCCACACCAATTTTAATTAATTTTAACATATTATTCAATAATGTTTAAGTCCGGATTAGACCACCCTAGTCTTACAAATATTATCATAAATGTCGCTGAGAGCAGGTCCCACAATGGAAATACTTAAATAGAAAAACTTAGAGATGACTCGAATGAAGCTCGAGAGTACCGAGCTATAATTTTATTTTAAAGAAGTGGATGTGGAGCAACTGCTGGTAAGATTTATTTCAAGAAAAAGTGGAATGTGTTTATGAAATTGGCTCCCTTAGATACTCAATGATCCAGAATAAGTGTGCAATAACTACTGTGAAACCATAAATTACTGTCCCAAAACAAGTTTTCTGACATGTTTTGTGTTTGCTTACTAGGCTATGTTCCTGCCTAAAAAACTTAAAATCACTTAATCAGACATTCATAAAATCCTACATGGAAGTATGTATATTATATACTATTATTTTGGCGTTTCAGAGTCTTAAGATTTTGAGATATTAAGAATCTTATATATCTCAAAATCTTAATTGGAGATTTAAATATGAGAGTTAAAAGATTCAAGGTGTACAAATTCAGGAAGAATACTAAATTTAAAAGTTGCAAGCAATCTTTCAATATTAATGTATTACTCGCAGAATGCAACTTAATGACGATTCTAGAGAGTAGAGACCTTTTCCTGTATAAATATGCCTTTAAAAATCTTCAACACACAAAAAGTTCCTCTGCAACAAGACGAACTTGGCTACTTTTGTCAGTACCCTCATTAAAGTTTGGGCAGAAATCTATTAATTATAGAGGCATAAAATTATGGAACAAGCTTCCAAGAGACTGGGACCCCAAAATGACTTTGACTCAGTATGAGCAGGCATGCCGTGAATTTATAATTAGTAATCGGCAGGATCAATTTTATTATTTTTGACTGGGGTTGACATATGTTACCTAAATTGTACTTACTTAAAGTTACCTAATTTGTACTTACTTAATGGTTTTTGTTATTTTCACTTTAGTTATAGGTTATTTTCACTTTAGTTATAGGCTAGCTGCTTATGATATTTATAGCAAATGCGTGTCATAGATTTCAAACCAGTTTTTTAAAACTGATATCTATTTACACTGAATAAAAAGGTTGAAATGAAATGAAATGAAATGAAATGGAGGTATGATATACTTTCGAGCAGGTAATGTTTTGAATTTACCAGACATTTACGACGCATTCCACATAAAAATCGCAAATAACTTACATGAACTTTAATTTAATTATATAAAATTTAACTACATAAAACTTAATAACATGACCATGAAATTCATGGTTTTTTCAAATCATAGCAGTTTTTGGATTTTTGTTGGTGCCCACGTCTGAAAAAATCCTAGCCCCGCCACTGAGAGAAATTGGTTATAAAGGCATCGACGGTGCCAATATCGTTTAGTTTTATGTAGATAATCGTATTTCTGTTAGTTATTTACAAAGTTGATAAAATTTTAACTGTGTTTCGTAATAAACTCGTTTAACAAACAGTGCCAACATATAAAACTCATACTTGAACTTACTCTGTCACAAATTAGTGCGAAGAGATGATGTCGCCCTCTGTCACACCGAGTTTCAAATGATTGCTTTCCGGCCTGGTTGGTCCGGCTTTTAATGGGTACATAGTTAACCTACGATGGATATGAAGATATAAATATATACATAGATCGGAGTACTCCAGCTTTGGTGTATGTACTCCGGGCTCCGGAGTTCGCGACTTTTCCCGGAGTACGGAGTACGCGAGGTTGACCGGAAACCAAAGTACGCGGATTACGGAGTATGCAACATTACGATGTTAGAAATTGAGTTTACGACTTTGTAATGCGATGAATTTACTGTTTTCTGTTTTCATGACAGGTGCTCTGATCACTGCGCTACTGAGCCGTTTAAGATAACCTTCGCATTGTTGCATATATTTATTTGAAAGTCTACTCTGTTTTGTGGATATCTACTATGTTTTATCTTGATTCCAACACACTTACCCAATTTCTAGGCCATGTCTGTAAATGAGGGCTGAAAAATGTCGTGTCCAGCCTTCAAATATCAAAGTTTCGACGGATTCCTCGCCCATTTCAACCACCACAATAGAATCTTGATAGAAATTTTGAAAAAAGACGTTAGTCACGCAAAACTACAAGATATTCGCCTATACGTGTCCGCCGCTACGATGGATTTAATCACAGAATCGGCGCTCGGACAAGCCTCAAATTATCAGAAAGATGTTGATGGAAATTTTTTTTGAATCTGTGAGCATGTTTGTTTTCTAAAATAAGTTGTTAAATTTCCGTTAAGATGTCCTAATTATTTTATAAATTAGGGCGTCTGACTCGTTTCGGACATTTGTTTCGAGGATTCCGACCCTGGTTGAATTTTCCCGTCATTTTTCCGAGACCTATCCGGTCTCGGAAAACCGGATAAGATTTGCGTTTAATTTTTTGTCGACTTTTTATCACAAGTGTGTAAATATGAAAATGCTTTGGAACTATGCACAAACTTGAGATAGTTTTTACTCTTTTGCAGACAGAGAAATATACGGTGCAGTTCTGCCCTAGTTATTAATATATTTAGTGAGCTTAATTTATGAATATGTTTTTGTATGGGTCTGCTGGTATGTAAATAATGTACTAGGACGTTAATAGTTATAAATAATAATTGGTTTTATTTACGAGTTTCCCAGTTTATTTATAACATTGTTTAGTGTGCAGTGTGATTATTTTATACTTAAATGGGTTGAAATTGATATTATTATTTTTGGTATTGTGCATTAGTGGTGATGGTGGTTTGCATTGTGGCATTGCACCGTTTTGTAA